GCAAATGGTTCTCTTTTTTTATTTGTTTTTGTTTTTTGCTTTTTGGTCACACCAGGCAATGCTCAGGGGTTACTCCTGGCTCTGCACTCAGAAATTACTCCTGGCGGTGCTTAAGGGAACATATGGGATGCCAGGGATTGAACCATGGTCGGCCGCGTGCAAGGTAAACACCCACCCTACTATATTATCACTCCAGCCCCCAAATGTTTCTCTTTTTAAAGTACCTATTTTCCTGAGCCTGGGATTTAAGACAACTTCTGACTTTCAGTATACAGAAGGATTATTCTGTGTAATTCCCATTTTGTCAGATGAAATAAAAAGATATCATGATCACGATCATCCTGTTGTTCGTCGATTTCCTCGAGCAGGCACCAGTAATGTCTCCTTCTTCCTAGCCCTGAGATTTTAAAAGAGCCATTCCAATGCTCTTTCAGGATTAGGAGAATGAGACCCATCATTGTTACTGGTATTTGGCATATTGAGTACGATACGGGAAGTTTGCCAGACTCTGTTGTGCAGGCAGGATACTTTTGGTAGCGTGCCAGGTTATCCAAAGGAAAAATAAGATAATAAGATGTCACACGGCCGCAAATGCGGCCGCGCACTTCCGGGAGCTGGGTTTTATAGTCTCTGCATCTTGGCCATTGATGGGACCAACCTGGCGCTGGCGGCAGCTGGTAGGTGTGACGCCTATCTACTGGAAGATGGGGGGTCTGGTTGGAGAAGGCCCAGTCCCAATCCGAGTAGGCTTGGAGACCTCAGTCCCGGGACCCACATGCCTGGGTTCCTCTGCCAGTTCTTTTATGCATGAGGCCCATCCGGACCTATGGAGAGTGGTCCCAGCATGGCCGTGGTTGGCTCCGGAGGTCCTCAGCTGCTGGGGCTCTGCTCAGTGCGCAGAAGGGAGAGAAATCAACCCTCCCCCCTCCAAGGGGCCCCGGTTAGGACAGCCAGGGGCAGAGGCAGGAGACTGCACTGTTTTCCTCTGGGAGCTGGGTTTTATAGTCTCTGCGTCTTGGCCGTTGATGGAACCAACCTGGCGCTGGCGGCAGCTGGTGGGTGTGATGCCTACCTACTGGAAGATGCGGGGGTCTGGGTGGAGAAGGCCCAGTCCCAATCCAAGCAGGCTTGGAGACCTCAGCCCCGGGATCCACATGCCTGGGTTCCTCTGCCAGTTCTTTCATCCATGAGGCCCATCCGGACGTGTGGAGAGTGGTCCCAGCATGGCTGTGGTTGGCTCCGGAGGTCCTCAGGTGCACGCAGAGGGATGGGAAGATGTGAGTTGTTGGCGGGCTCTCGGGGTAGCTCTCTCTTGCCGCCCGCATTTGGTCCTCTCAAGCCACTTATGGACTGGATCGGGATGATTCCTCCTTTGTGCTCTGCTTCCATGTGTGCTGCTGTGCTCTTTTCTGTCTGTCTCTCTAATTTCTGACTCTATCTCTGTAGTCTCTCCTCTGGTCTCTCTCTCTCTCTCTCTCTCTCTCTCTCTCTCTCTCTCTCTCTCTCTCTCTCTCTCTCTCTGCCCTTCTGCTTCTCTCTCTGGAGCTCTTTGCCCTAGGTCCTAATTCTGCCCCCTGGATTATGAGAGAGTCATAATCCAGAGCAAAGGCCTCCAGAAATCAGGGTCAGGATCCAGGGAAGAAGAAGCAGAGAATGGAAAAAGAAAAAATTATGTACTTAGAAAAATACATTGCCTAAAATGAATTTTGCTGAATCACTGATGATATTCTTGTCTTTTTTCCTTCCTAATGTACATGACAGTGAAGAATATGTTTGCTAGCTAGTGTGGTGAAATTAATTCGTACCAAGGCTTCAACAATTTTGCCATAATCATAAATGTCAGTGGTGAGATGGGCAAATCCCATTATTTGTGGAAGTGTTGGTTTCACTGATTATTATGGAAGGGCTCGGACCTCAGGTAGCTTCTTTTTTTTGGGGGGGGAGGGGGAGATCTTTTTGGGTCACACTTGGGGATGCTCAGGAGTTACTCCTGGCTCTGCATTCAGGAATTACTCCCAGTGGTGCTTGGGGGACCATATGAGATGCCAGGGATCAAATCCAGTTGGCCAAGTGCAAGGCAAACGCTCTACCCACTGTACATCACTTCAGCCCTCAGTTATCTTCTAAGGGTGTCTCTGGGCAGTGGAAAGATTTGTGGACCATGGCGCAAGATCAACTGGTCTTCAAGAATTAGAGGTGCCATCTATCCATTCATACACCCAACCACCCACCCACCCACCCATCCAACTGTCTGTCCATCCATGAATTTGTTAGGGGCCTATTCTGACCAGGCATCATATAAAAATGAAAAAAATTATTGATCTGACACATCATGTTGAAGAAGAAACACAAACCTGTGAAATAAAGTCTAGCAGAAAACATGCAACAGGAGAAAGCCCACAAGTCCACTTGAAGTCAAAACCCTTTAAAAGAACCCTTTGTTTAAGGGAGAGGTCAATATATTCTGTTTAGAGACCGTGAATTTCAACCCTGACCTAGATCATTTGAATTTGCTTTCCTTTTTATTTTTTGAGGCACCAGGGATCAAACGGACAGCCTCACGTGTGTAAGTCAAATGCTCTACTACTGAGCTATATTCTGGCCCTCAAATTAGTTCATGAATGACAGTGTTACAACAAACTCATACCAACATTTGAACTCATTACATTCTCTCACCACAAGAGAGGGATAAACAAGAAAAGGACACTGATCAATCTTATTGGAGATCCTCAGCAGCAGCCAAACCCAAGTCAGCTTTTGGATTTTATTAGATCGGTCCCTTCTGAGAGCAGAAACATAGAAATAAGACTCTCTGGAGAGCAGGAGTCTTTAAACCCTGCCTGCTTTCTCTCTGCTCTGATGGTGGGAGTTGATGAGTAATTTTACTGTATATGAAATAATTGGGGAAAATGGAGTAAAGTAACACTTAATTGGGGTTGGCTACACTTGGTGGTGCTCAGGGCTTACTCCTGACTCTCTGTTCAGGAAGTACTCCTACTGGGACTCAAATTACCATAGGGGTGCCAGGGATCAAATCCAGTTCAGCCATGTGCAAGGCAAATGCCCTTCCAGCTCTATTATCACCCCAGCCCCATTCATTTAAGTACTGAAAACAAGAGATATGAAAATAAATTTTGAGATATGCCTGCCAAGGGGGCAGGGTGGGAAGTTGGAGGAAACCTGGGACACTGATAGAGAGAAGGGCACACTGGTGGTGAGATTGGTGTTGGAACTTTGTTTACCTTTAAAAAAATTTTATTATAAGCAACTTTGTAAATCACAGTGTGTTAATAAAACTTTAAAAAAAAAACTGATAGAGGGCCAGAGAGATAAGACAGCTGGTAAGGGAGGCACTTGTTTTGCATGTGCCTGATCTGGGTTCGATCCCTGGCACTACATATGGACCCAAAGCACCATCTGAGCTGTGCCAGGCAAGCACTTTGCACACCCTACCATCTCTCCAGCTCCCATTTCAGCCATTTGAGCCATTTCTCCAACCCCGATGACCTTTTTTAACATTCAACTACTTTTCTTGCATTGACTCATGAATTTGTGAATATAAGCAGATTTATAGACTCGGGTAGACACATCATTTAAATTACCAGTTGAGAGCTATAGTATTCAAATTCACTAGGTATTTAGTTTTTTAAATGACAAGAACAAAAATTAAAGATCATAGCTCCAACAATCAATTAATCTGTTCTGAATAAACAATTTCCCACTGGATTTATGAGTACATATGTAGGTAATCATCAATTTCAACACTTTGTACAGGGTCATAAATGTGTCATTGTATTATTCAGAGCTGTGACTGTTTGAACAATTGGGTCTTATACTAAAAAAGTGTTTTCCCTGCCAGGCTTGGGAACAAGACTTCAGATACTATAGCATCTCAATATGGATACATTAGCTCCAAGATCCTGGAGGTGAATTTGGTGTTTCATAACCACTTACATATTTTGTGCCATGAACTTTTCCCCCCCAGATATATATAAATTCACATGACATACAGCTTTATATAGATATATTGTACATCTGTTTTACATCCTGTATTATGTTTTAACGAACATCTTTCTAGGTTAATAAATGTATTATTTTCATAGTCCACATAGTAATATATAGCATTCCTATTCACCATGGCCTTTAAAAATGTGAACAGTATTTAATAATAAAATCGTAAGATTTCCTTCAAGACTGTTGTCTATTTTTAATTGAGTTGATTTTTTTTTTAAAGTTTGTAGGAGTTCTTCACAGACTTTGTATATGAAGTCTTTTTGTTAGACCTATTAATGGTTCATTTTAATGAGAAGTTAAAATTTTGATGAGTCTCATTAATATTTTTTTTTGCTTTTTGGGTCACACCCAGCAATGCACAGGGGTTATTCCTTATTCCTGGCTCTGCACTCAGGAATTACTCCTGGCAGTGCTCATGGGACCATATGGGATGCTGGGAATCGAACTCAGGTTGGCCGCGTGCAAGGCAAACACCCTACCCGCTGTGCTATTGCGCCAGCCCCCAATATTTTTAATAATTTTTTTGTATTGCAATACATAGCTGCCTTGGGGACTAGGGAAGACAGAGAATAAGAAGTATCTTATAATTTTATATAAATTATATCTCAATAAGACTGTAAAAATAAAAATATAACTGCATACTCTAATGTCATAAAAATATTCTACCCTAATCACTTCTAAATGCTATATAGTTTAAGCTTTTACATTTAGACCTAAGATCCAACTCTACTATTTGAGTATGGTGAGAAGTATCAATCAAGGTTATTTCTTTCCACCAGGAAATTCATCGTAATTTCATTTTTTAACAGAATAAAATTTTAAATTCTCATATATTTTATTCCCCATAACAGTCTAGACCACACCTTTAGAACTTTCTCTTGGTGACATGATACTTAGTTAGTAAATTTTTCATTATAAAATAACATTGCCTTAAGATGATAGTTTTTAAAATATTACCAAGGGGCATATAATCAAGAAAAAAATAATCCAGAAAAAATAATTTTAATTCAAATGTCATCAAAATGCAGTTTATTTATAAATTCAACTCTCTATAGCAGTATTGCAGTTCACTTTTAACAGAAGGAATACTTTATAAAAGGTCTTGATAGAGTATTTTCTAGTAATGCTGAGCTTAATATGAGGCATTCATTTAACATAAAGAGGTGCTTTTTTGTTAATGTGTTTTGATTTTGTTTGGGGGTGTCACCTGGCTGTGCTTACTGCTGGCTCTGTGCTCAGGGATCACTCTTGGTGGGGCTCAGAGAACCGTATGTGGTGCTGAAGACCAACCTGGGGTTGGCAGCATACAAAGCAAGTATTTTAACGCCAGCCCCAGGAGGTGTTTCTAAAATTCTGGTTGCAGAACCTGACCTGAACAAAGGTGATGCTGTGTAACAAACTTGTAAATTAGGCGACATTATAAGGATTAAAATTTTGCTCTCCCAGGGTATTTTGCTCAGAAGAGAAGATACTATGTAGAAATAAAGAATTTCAAAACTGTATCTGTTGTCAGTATGCTTCCTAACAATATGAAAATTCTAGGTCCAGCTAAGTTAGCATGTATTGTTTTCAATGAAATGGATTTGACTCTGAGAAAACAGACCACCTCCGTAAACTTTATAAACAGTTTTTATGCCTTTTTCTCTCTCTTTTTTTCCTTTTTGTTTTTGGGCCGCACAGGACAGTGTTCAGGGCTACACCCAGCTCTCTCCTCCAACCCAGTGAAGGCTTTGCTCCAGGACCACGTGGTGCTAGGCTGGATTATGTTTCCTGCCCCTCAACCCAATCCTCTCATTCTTTTGTAGTCTCTGAAAAAAAAATCAGTTCTTCAGTAGGTACCACATGTTTATGAAATGTCTGTAATATAAGTATCAACAAAATTTGACTTATACCTGCACTATAACACATGGATACTTTTGATTACATTTAATATATCTTGTTCTTAAAGGGTTATGATGTATCAATTTTATTAATTGCTAAGGTATTTTGTTATTAGACTATGTCCACAAAAATATAGTTACAAATTGTTTTTGTTTTGGGCCACACCTAGCTGTGCTCAAGGTTTACTCCTGGCTCTGCACTCAGGGATTACCTGGGCAGGATTCAGGGAACCGTATGAGGTGCTGGGATCAAGCCTGGCTCAGCTGCATGCAAGGCAGTCATCCTACCCATTATGCTGTCACTCCAGTTCCTCCTTTCTAAAAGTTTTAATATTGCATTATAAGGGACTGAGAGAAGGTATAGCAATGAAGGCCTTGCATGCAGCCAACACTGACCCAATTCCAGAACCCTAGAATTGGAATATGAACCCGAGAATATGGTTCCAAGAACCCGACCAGAAGTGATTTCTTATAGTGCCCTGAGCATTGCCAGGTGTGGCCCAAAAACCAAACCAAAAATAGAATACTGCATTATAAGGGACATAAGTCAAATAGAATCAAGTGTTTTTGATTAGATGAATTGGCACATCAATCATTATCATTTACATATAAGTTAATATAGATGGAAGCAAAGAAGGATTATGAAACTAAAAACATCTGAAATAATTTAGGAGAATCTTCTTCAGCAATGAACTTTGATTCCAATGGCTTTTTTAAATTCATGATTTTGTGGTTCCAAAAGGTCATAGAAAACTTGTTTTTGGTCAAAATGGCTTCTAATGTAAAGCAAATCTTCAATGGAATACTTATCATCTTTTCCAGTCCAAATAGTCAGGCTGTACCTGTATTAAAAAGGAAAACCAGTTACATGGTTAAACGTTAAAGATAAGATACAGGGATGAAGAATTTCAACTTCTCCAAATAGTTACTCTCATTTTTCCTAACCAAATTTCACATATAGATTAAAAAAAAACCCAAAAAACCCTTAATTGGCAATGGCAGAACTCTGTTTTCTTGTGTCATTCCTTCATCAACACTAAAGGAACTAGAAAGGGAAAAAAAATCCATAGAACTATTTTCTAAATTAGGAAAACTGCTGTATCTGAGACACAGGGATGTTAAATGGCTTTAGAAGCCCCGGCCAGTAGCACTGGAAAAGGGTTAAATTTTAGACAAATGATGGTGGAGACTATGTTGCTAACCAATGAATCTGCCCCTCCCACAAACATTGCAGCTCTGAATTTCTTCAGTGGCCTGCTCCAAGTCAAAAAGACCTATCAGGAATGTCGGTGATACTCATATTCATACACAAGTGACTTGTTTTTCTCTCTTTAAAGAAAAAAATTTTTTTAATTTGTTCGTGTGGTTTTGGGCTATACCCAGCAGTTCTCAGAGCTTACTTCTTGCTCAGTGCTCAGGGATCGCTCTTGGGAGGGCTCGAGGGACCACAAGAGGTACCAGGGGTCTAACCCACATCAGCTGTGTGCAAGGCAAGCACCCTCCTCACTGTGCTATCTCTCTGTCCCCTAAACATTTCTTCTAATTTCAGTCACTTTGATTTGCAATATCAAAGGTTTCGTGCAACCCACAATCTGACCCATGCCCCTCTCCTCAGGATTGTCTGCTTCCTTCCCTCAATGTCCCTGACACCTCCTCTTCCACCACCCCATTGTCTCTCTGCCATGGGAATCTCAGTTCTGGAGGTCAGTTCTCAGAATCTGTTGCCCTTGGCCACTTATTGCTCCCTTACTATGTTTTTTGTAATAATCCCATACATACAGATCAATCTGTATCTGTCCCTTCCTTCTGGCTGTCTGTCAGCATATCCTTGACCTGGCTTTCTCTTCTGGGTTTTTGTTATTTATTTATTTATTTATTTATTGGTATGAGAATACAAGAAATATTGTGATGTCACAAAAATGCCAAATAGACTCAACTAAGATGCATTTCAGGAGTTAAAAATCAATCAGTCCATAATCTATGCAGATTTACCAAGGGTGTACAAATAGACTGAATTTTAATGTTATTTAAATCACAAATTTTCACTTCTTCTGGTACCATTGCTCCTAATACATCACTTCTGTTGCAGTAATGTCTGGGAAAGGCAAAGCTGTTAAACAGTCTGATATTTCTTTTTTCTCCCGGACACATGTCAGAATGCAGGAGGAAAGAGCTAAAGCATTTCCTTCTAAAATGATAAGGAAGAGCCGTCTCCCAATATCCACATTCTTGTTACAGTGACACATTCCTGCCCTTCAGGATGTTGACGCAGGGAATGTAACAGAAGAAATTAACTCTGTATTTTGTTCCACAGCAAACAAACACCATTTAAACTACAACTGAGAATACAGGGAAAGAGGAAGCAAGAATAGGGTTTAAAAGCTCTATTTTCTGTGAAAATTGCATCTCTGTTACTCCACTAATGCACCATGGTGACAAACCTTATAAAAGAGACACAGAGAGAACCATTCAGGTTCAAGGATGAGTTCCTCAGATTTTGCCTCTTTTAATCCTTGCTGTTTCACTGAGACTGAAAAATTGCATAATGGAATCTTAAATTGTATGCATTCAGGTTAATTCTCAGCTTTTATTTTTTATTTGTTGGTTTTTGGGCCACACCCTGCAGTGCTCAGGGCTTACTCCTGGCTCAGGGCTCAGGGATCATTTTTACCCCTATATGATCTCCCGAACCTCTCAGCTTTAATTCTTTTTTTGCTTTTTTTGGGGGGGTCACACCCCGAAAATGCACAGGGGGTACTCCTGGCTCTGCACTCAGGAGTTACTCCTGGCGGTGCTCAGAGGACCATATGGGATGCTGGGAATCGAACCCGGGTCATCTGCGAGCAAGGCAAACGCCCTACCTGCTGTGCTATCTCTCCAGCCCCTCAGCTTTAATTTTTAAGCCCCCTTTTTTAATTGTGAAAAAATGTAAAATGCATACATAAAAGTACATCATGAATAAATCAATATAAAATGAACTCCAGTGTAACTAGGACACACATCTAGAAAGTGGACCTGGACAGCATCACAGGAAAAAGAACTGTGTCACTGTCCGAGAACTGCCCCACCTGACACTGTCCTCCCCATGTGACATGTATGATATATGGCCACTAGGTCATCTTCACATACTGCCTTCAGTGCAATTCTACAGTGTGACTTAGATTTGGACAATGAATCGCATCTAAATGGAGACAGAGGCATAATTTTTTGATGTGCTTTTTTTTCTCAATAACTCCTTTGAAGTTTATCCAAATTGAAATGTAGCTGCAGCTTACTTACTGCCTTTGGATAATAGCTTAGGAGTATCTACTGAGGTTGAAAATGTGATAGCACCTTTACCTGGATTTCTACCAATTCCCTTCCAACAGGACCTTTGTAAATGCAGAATATAGACCAGTATTCGTATGGATTCTCGACTCCTCAGAGCAACTATTTACATCACAGCCCAAACTGTCAAACAATCCAAATGTCACCCAATAATAAAAGAAAAATTGTGGCACCTAGCTAATGAAATACATAGTTCTTGGCCCCGTGAGAGAACTCAACAGGCTGATCATACGCACTGCATGCAGGTCTGGGATCAACAGGTCTGGGTTCAATCCCAGTAACCTCATGGTCCTCCAAGCACCACCAGGAACAACGTCCAAAGATTAAAAATAAATATATAAATAAATAAAAACCCACATAAGCAGAATTTGGGCTGGAGCGATAGCACAGTGGGTAGGGTGTTTGCTTTGCACGCAGCCGACCCAGGTTTGATTCCTCTGTCCCTCTCAGAGAGCCCGGCAAGCTACAGAGAGTATCCTGCCCACACAGCAGAGCCTGGCAAGCTCTCCGTGGCATATTCTATATGCCAAAAACAGTAACAACAAGTCTCACAATGGAGACATTACTGGTGCCCGCTCGAGCAAATTGATGAACAATGGGAGGGCAGTGCCACAGTGCCACAAGCAGAATTTAAAAAAAGATAAAAGCAGAAGTGAATCATAAACTAGAAAAATAAATCAATCCAAGGGGTTCTTCAAAGAGAAATAATTATCCAGCTTATTCAAGAAACAGGGAGAAGCTCAAATTTTAAAAATAATTTTTTTTCTTTTTTTTTTTTTGGTGGGGGGAGGTTGGGCCACACCTGGCAGTGATCAGCTTACTCCTTCTGCACTCAGGGGTCACTCCTGTGGGCTCAGGGGGACCATATAGGGTGCCAGGGATGGAATTCAGTTCAGCTGCATGCAAGGCAAACACCCTACTACTGTACTATTACTTCAGCCCCCAATAAATCTATTTTTCAAAAATTAAGTTATTTGAAGGTTATAGTAGAAACTAAAAGAAATGATAAACGGTTTTACTCATTAGTAATAAAACAAATTTTAAAATCTGAACCAAGTGAGGGCTGGAGTGATAGCACAGCGGGTAGGGTGTTTGCCTCGCACGCAGCCAACCCGGGTTTGATTCCTTTGACCCTCTCGGAGAGCCCAGCTAGCTACTGAGAGTATCCTGCCCATACGGCAGAGCCTGGCAAGCTTCCCATGGCATATTCAATATGCCAGAAACAGTAACAACAAGTCTCACAATGGAGATGTTACTGGTGCCCGCTCAAGCAAATAAGATGAACAACCGGAGGACAGTGCTACAGTGCTACAGTGAACCAAGTGAACGGTTTTCCAGAAAAGCAGTGACTCAAACTTGATTCCTAAAGAGTCAAGACTCAAATAGATCACTTACCACATAAGAGAAAACACTTATCACATCACAGAAAACACTACCAGTCAAGCTCATCCCCAATTACCCAGGTGTAGATGATTTCACTGCTAAGTTTACCAACATTCAAGTACATGCCATGTCTATGTTGTTTTTAATATTACAGAACATATGTAAATATGCAAATGTTTCTTTTCTTTTAAAAATGCAATGCACCTTGCATTCACAAAGGTATAAATAAAGGTACTTATAAAAGTAGTTATAAAGGTATCTCTTCCTGGCCTCTCCTTACTCATCTTTCCCAACCCTGCTGAATTGGAGGCTCTTTCTCTTCCGAGTAAGGAGAGGCTGCTAAAATCTCAGTGCTGGGACAAATGAAGATGTTACTGGTGCCTGCTCGAGTAAATCGATGAACAATGGGATGACAGAGATACAGTGATACAGTGATCTCTTTCTGGATGATTTGTGAAAACTATTTTGTTTGAATTCTTTGCATTTGCCTGACATTTACTCAAGATATCTTACCAGAATATTCCTACATTTATATACTAAGATGTAACAAAATTTCCTTCTATAGATCTTAGATTTTGTGTTTTACTAAGAAAGTTTGAAACTATATTTAAAAATCTATATTTAAATATAGTCTGAAACTATATTTAAAAATCTAATTTTTATAGGTGTTTAATATTTGATGCTGAAGTCTTTAACTCGTCTGAAATTTATTTCGGAGGAAAGATTTATTTTTTTGGTGGGTTTTGGATTCTGGACCACAGAGGCGATGGTCAGGGGCTCTGCCTGGCTCTGTGTTCAGGGATCATGATCATTCCCTGAAAATTTCAGAGAACCATATGTGGCGCCAGGGGTCAAACTTCAGCGGGACACATACAAGACAAGTGCTGAACCCTTGTACTGTCTCTCTGGCCTTGAAGAGAGGATTAAGGAAAGCCACCAGTTTTGGTTTTTTTCCTACATCGTTAATATGTTGATTGTCCCAACGCCAGTTATTGAACTTTTGTTACAATGATTTGAAATATCAACTTTTCCTATACTAACTCCCATAACGGATTAAGATTTATTTCTGGACATTCTCTATTTTCCGATTGTCCCTCTGATTAACAATGGAGTATCAAAACTGTTTCAATGCCTCCATCTTCATATTTCAATATTTAATGATGGTAAAACTAATTCTTATAGGACCGGAATGGGGGGCATGAACTATTGGGGATCAACCACGTACAAGACACATACCAATTATAATGGCTTCGTACAAGTTAGACATGTGCTCTACCATTTGAGCTATCTCCTTGCTCCAAACTAATTTTTATTACAAATGAAAAATTGTATAAGGAAAACACTTCTGACATTATCCAACAACTCAGAGCAATAGTTTTTACCCACTTACAACTCTTTGTGACTATATGATGTAATGGGGAAAAAAGATAATCATTTACTAGGCAGCCACGACATGCAAAAGCTTTTCTGAAGGATATGTGAAAGCTATGACATTAAAAAATTAAGGTTGGTGGAGAAACTTTAATCTGGAGTTCGTGTGCTTACAGAATCAGCTTCCTGTCTTTCTCGCTCATAGTGTTCTTCAGGTATCAGCTTTCACCCTCTTCCTACGTGCGTCCCACACACTCACGTGCACACATTATATTATTTAAACCTTACATACCTGTTTGATTTCTCTAGCAGCCAAAGTAACTGAGAGTAAGACTGACTGAGTAATGCTGCTCTCACAGGAAATGTTACAGGCTGATTTAGTTCACTACATATATATTCCATTTCCTTCACCATTGTCCAACTGTAACCTGAAATAAAGTAATTCAATTTATGTTAATGGAAACCTAAAAGTGAGTTAAGTTAAAAACTAAATTATACATGAATAGGTAAATTCATAAGTAATTCACAAAAATTTTCATTTGGATTTACAGTGAATTAAAATACCACTCAATGCAAAAATATTTTGAGTGAAAAATGTAGATAAAAAAATTAATCCAGAGCCTGGGTATATAGTGCAGTGATATTCCTAGTATATATGAATCCTGAATTTGATCCTCACTCAGAGTCATAAAAACTATAATAAAGAAAATTATTATAAGCTAAGAGGACTAAAAACCTCCGGCTCCAGGCACATCTCTTAGATTCCACTGTTCTTCCTGCATTAATATATGCCTCAGAGACCCGGGCCCTATGAAAACAGGATGAGAACGCTATTCGGGTATCTCAAAGAGGAATCAAAAGAGCTATGCTTGGAGTATCACGCTTCACTCAAATGAGAGAAAGAATCCGGAGTTCCAACCTCCGTCAATGATCAAGAATCAGGGACGCTGTCTCGTTTGCCAAGGTGTCGAAAATCAGATGGGCTGGACACGTAATGAGATTTGGAGATGACAGCTGGACTAGAGCCATTACCGACTGGATTCCACAGGACGTCAAAAGATCACGTGGCCGCCCACCTGTGAGATGGTCAGACTTCTTCGTCAAGACCCTGAAGGATCGGTTTGAGGCTGTTTGTGTTCCTAGAACGAGCAGACACCATTGGGCTACACTATCACGCGACAGGGATGAATGGAGACTTTACTGGCGCCAGCTTGAGCAAATCAATGAGTAACGAGATGTCAAGTGAAGTGATCAAGTGATAATGCTAAATTACTGAAAGCAGGTTGTGACTTAAAACAAACTTAACATAGAATTAAAACATTAAAAGGTTTTTACTAGGGGCCAGAGAGACAGTATAGTAGGTAGGGCACTTGCCTTGCATATGGCTACCCTAGATTTGATCCCCACCACCTCATAGGGTACCCACAGCACCACCAGGAGTGATCCCTGAGCAACGAGTCAAGGGTAGGCCCTGAGCACAAATAGGGATATGGGTTCCCCACCCCAAGAAAAAGGTGTGAAAAAAATACAACAAATTTTAACATTATATTTATTTCAAACAAACTGACTTTATGTACATTATTGTCTATAAAGTTATATTTTCTGTGTGCTTTTTGTTTGATTGGTCTTGATTTGGGGCAATGTCTGGCAGTGCTCAGGAGAGCATATGGTGCCAGGGCTCAAACCTGAACTTTCCACATGCAAAGCATGTGTTCCAACATGTTGACCTATCTCTCTGACTCTAGATAATGTTTTAAATCAAACTCAAGACATTACAGAAAATATAGTTTCCTGTTTATATCATTTTAGAAAAAAATAATATACTTTCTACAATGCTAAATTACTGAAAGCAGGTTGTTGGGCTTGGAGAGATAATGCCTTTCATGCAATCAACCTGGTTCAAGCCCCTGCACTATACATGGTCCCTTGAGTCATGCCAGGAGTGTTTCCTGAGCATAGAGACAAAAGTAAGCTCTGAGTACAGAGTAAATCTTGGGGTACAGTGGGGTGTGGCCCAAAAACAATCAAAACAATTTTTTAAAAAAGAAAGTCAGTTTATAAAAAGCATTAGTCAGTTGAGGTACAGTTCTCACAAAGTCTCTGTGAATGTGGCACTTTAGTGGAGAATACCAGATACAAGAAGGAAAATGTTCTAATTTTCCTTTGACATATGTAAATCATAACTTTAAATGAAAAAATGAATGTTTCTAATAGGATCTACACTTACATGACAGACTATAAACTACTCTATTTTCCAAATTTTGTGGCAGAAGAATTAAGGGAAGATAAAGCACATTATTATGAGAAAATAAGTCTGAAAACATTTATAGTCAACATATCATATAGACCCAGATATGGTTTAATTCATTTCAAACCTATGCTTAGACTAATAGTGACTAAAAGAAAATTAGAGTTTGTAAGAAAAGTACAGATTATTTCTAGCTTACTTTTTAAAAACACTTTGTATTATATTTATTTTATGGTCTATTCTTTAGTGAAATGAACAAAAACTTAAATGATTATAAAATTTAAAAAGCATTATATCAAAGAATATTATCTTTCTCTCAACAGTACTAACTGTTGCTCCAGCGGGTATTTTTTAAATATCACTACTCACTTACTGGTCATTTACCTGGAAAATGCTATCTAGAGATGCATGAAGAAATGAAAGAAACCAAACAGAATAGTAAATGTTATCCAAGAAAAAGAGGCCAATTTTCTTCTTGGCGTCTATCACAAGAGCACAAAACATTACTTGGAAAAGCATATTTACATTCCTATGGGTACTGAAGAACTAGAGACACAACAGTCAAAACCTGGAAACAACCTAAGTGCCCAGTCAATGCATTTAAGTGGGTAAAGAAATCTGGCATACATACACAACTCAATACCACCCAGCTATGAGGAGATGAAATATTGCACTTTGCTGCAACGGGAAAAGAACTGAAGGGTATTGTGCTCAACAAAAGGAGGAAAGAAAGAAAGGAAGAAAAGAAGAAAGAAAGAAAGAAAGAAAGAAAGAAAGAAAGAAAGAAAGGCGAAAAGATGGAAAGAAGGAAAGAAGGAAAAAAGAAGGAAGAAAGAAAACAGGGATGAGACTGGAAAGACAGTATAAGAGTTTACGGCAACCTGTCCTGGTTCCATCCCAAGTACCACGTGGTGCTTCCATGAACATTTCCAGGTGCATCCCGGGGACTCCAGAGAATAGCAGAGGTGGCCTGAATAATCCCTGGCTCCTCTGAGCCCCTATATTGATCACAGGCTGAGAATTGCGAGGAGTGGCCCCTAGGCACCATAATCACTGCTTCAGAGGTTTCTAAAACAAACACTTGATATACAGCAAGGAAATGAAAAATGGTCAATGATTATAGGTTCCAAGTGCCTCCCCATTGAACAGAGTTTGCTAAGGGGCAAGGTGGAAGCCAGAGAGGCCTAAGAGACAGAGGTTACAGGGATGCTAAGACTCGGGTGGTGGGCGTAGCAACACCGTAATCCTGAAAAATAGGTGTTCTTAATCACAGCGCCTAAATAATATTTTCACTTCGCTTAATCACTTAACTTCCCGTTAGTCGTCGATTTGCTCGAGCGGGCGCCAGTAACGTCTCCATTAGTCCCTGTGACGTGCTAGTGTAGCCCAATGGCATCTGTTCGCTCTGGGAACATGAAGAGCCTCAAACCGATCGTTCATGATCTTGATGAAGTCTGACCATCTGGTAGGTGGGCAGTCACGCAGTCTTTTAACATCCCATGGAATCCAGTTGGTAACAGCTCTAGTACAGCGGTCGTCTTTAAATCTCATTACGTGACCAGCCCATCTGATTTTTTGACACCTTGGCAAATGAGACAGCGTCCCTGATTTTTGATCGTCGATGGATGTAAGAACTCCGGATTCTTTCTCTCATTTGAGTGAAATGTGATATTCCAAGCATAGCTCTTTCAATTCTTCTTTGGGAGACCAGAATAGCGTTCTCATTCTGTTTGCGTAGGGCCCAGGTCTCTGAGGCATATGTTAATGCAAGAAGAACAGTGGAATCAAAGAGAAGTGCCCGAAGCCGGAGGTTCTTCATCCTCTTAGCTATTTCTTCGACGTTCTTAAAGGCGTTCCAAGCTGCTCTCTTCCTCCTGCGCAGCTCGGGTGCCAGGTCATTTGTCATGTTGACCTCTCGACCTAGGTAGACATAGCTGTTGCATTCGGAGATGGTCATTCCGTTGAGAGCAAATGGGGCGTCAGGAAAGAGGCTGTTTCTCATAAACATTGTCTTCGTAAGATTCAGCTGTAGTCCTACCTTTCCACATTCACGGTCAAAGTCAGCCAGCATTTGTGCCGCTTGGCTGATGTTTGGTGTTATTAAAACAATGTCATCAGCAAAGTGGAGGTGGTATAGTTGCCGACCATCTATCTTCACTCCCATTCCTTCCCATTCCAGTCATCGCATGATGTTCTCGAGGGTGGCACTGAAGAGTTTCGGTGAAATGGTATCACCCTGCCGAACCCCTCTCTTGACATCAATGATTACTTCTTTGTAGAATGGTGAGATCCTGGTAGTGAATCCGCAATACAGCTCACAGAGCATCTTGATGTTTTGGGCTTGAATGTCCTGATTGGCTAGGGCTTCAATGACCGCTTCCATCTCACAGAATCAAAGGCCTTCTTTAAATCAATGAACGTTAAACAGAGCGGCATCTTGAACTCCCGAGAAACCTCAATGAGCTTGGTTATCGTGTGGATATGTTCAATGGTGCTGAATCCTTTGTGGAACCCGGCTTGCTCGCATGGTTGTCCTTCATCTAGTGTTCTGCCAATCCTATTTAGGATGACTCAAGTGAACAACTTGTAAATGACAGTCAATAGGCATATCGGGCAATAGTTGCCAATGTCATAGATGTCTCCCTTCTTGAACAGTAGTACGGTCCTGCTGGTTTTCCATTGGGATGGAACCTTGCATTCAGACAGGTAGTGTGTGAAGAGCCGAGCCAGTGTATTGATAAGTACTGACGGCAGGTTCTTCAGGTGTTCAGATCTGACCTTGTCTGGGCCGGGTGCTGTTCGTTTCTTTACTGACGAAATGGCGTGTCGGATTTCAGAAGGGAGAACATTGGGAACGACATATCCATCCTGTGGAATTTGGTATGTCGGCAAGTGGACATGGCTATCGAAGAGATTTGAGTAGAAGTCATGGATAATCTTCTCCATTGCCGTTCTGGAGGATGTGATGGATCTATCAGGACGTCGGAGGGCAGTCATCTTGGTCTTGTAGTTGGCGAAGGACAGGCGGACGTTACGAATACTTTTCCCGGCTTCTGCCGCATCTACCAGCACTTCTGCTCTTCTCTCTTTGCGGTCTTCCTTGATCGCATCTCTGCACTGCTTTGCATGCTCGGATGTTAGCTTGCGGTTGCCTGAGGCCAAACCACACTGGCGAATAAGCTCAAGAATTTTCGAAGACAGGCATTTTTTTGTGACTATCTCTCTCTTGGCATTCTTCGCACAATCATGGAGGTGCTGAACCAGTCGATTGTATTCCTCGTCAATGTTGTCAACAATGGCATCTTTCCATGTTGCCGCAATAGTGCCAAAGAGCTCCCAGTTGGTGGTCGTTCTGGGAGTTCTCTTTTTAAACTTTGCAGCCTTTTCTCCCCGCTCTGTGAAGTAGAATTCTGCACAAAGGAGATGGTGGTCCGATACCGTTCGGAATTTTGGGACAACAGCGACATCAGTCAGGCTAAACCGTCGATTGAATATGATGTGGTCTATTTCGTTGTGGAATCGTCCACCGGGAGACTCCCATGTCCAACGTTTAGATTCTGCCTTCTGGAACTGTGAGTTATCATGGATGGTCTTGGTCGACATGATGAACTCAGACAGTCTCTCACCCTGTTCGTTTCATTCTAGGCCATGGGTCCCAATGTGAAGTTCTTCAGCTGATCTTCTTGGTCCTATCTTGGCATTAAAATCACCCACAATGATCTTGTAGAAGGTGTGGTCTTCTTTATAGAACTTTTCCAGCTCCATGTAGAACTTCTCGATTTCTCTTTCATCATAATGAGATGTTGGTGCATAGACAACAAAGATAGAAACTGCCGGCAGTGAGCCACATCTATTCAAATGTAAACGTCCGATTCGGGTTGTTAGGCATTCGAATGAAAAAAATAATATTTTAAATTTTAAAAAGTTAATTTGAATATCAAATCCATCTCTAGGAATATGAGAAGGGGAATAAAACTCAGAGAATATTGGAGAATTTCCTGGTATATCACAGCAACCCCACTCCCACCCAGCCCAGACAGAGCAGTATGAGCACTAAGTCTCCAGCAAGCCCCATGCGGAGCCCCTCAAATGTCACAGGAGCAGAACTTGGTTTTCAACCACTATACCACCCTCTACCGCTGGCCTCACATTACTTAAAAAGCTTTTATTTCCATTTTTTTCCTCTTCCTTGTTTGAAATAGGGAATCTGGAAAAAAGTGGAGGGAAAATGGTATAGAATATTTCAGAAGTTCAAAGAGACAGACTAAAGATTTCCTCCAAGTAAGGAAAAAAGGCAACCCTGATTATTCTAGACTTTTCAAATAAATATACCCATGGACGTTGGGTGATGGACACCACCAGTGAATACAATGTCCACCCGGAGAGCAGACAGCAAGACCACACGCTGCCTTTAAGCTCAGCCCTTTCTCTCCACTAGGCAGATTAGGTTCTGCGGGGTGTGTTTCTCATTTTTAAATGGAAGTTGTTGTTGTTATTATTGTTGTTATTATTATGATTGGCCAGGGAAGGGGGGAGCTGGCACACTCAGTGATGCTCAGGAGTTAATCCTGTTTTTTGAATCATTCCTGGCAGCACTCAGGGGAACTGGAGATGGTGCTGGAGATCAAGCCAGATTGGTTGTATGCATGGCAAGTACCTTGTCCTCTACACTATTTCTCCAGCATTCAAAGTTATTATTTTCATACAACAATTTTTATAGTCACCCTTATATATAATTTTTTCTTTTACATAGAAATACCTATCTATGATAAAAAGTTCTGTTTATAAATCAAGCACACTAATAAAAAAAATAACAGATAGGTTTGTTCTCCAAGGTCATGTTCTCCCTTGAGCATGAACCTCACTTGCTTGTCTCTACGTCTTTTTTGCTTGCTGCTTTTTCACTCTGGAGAAGCTTATGTTGTCTCTTGAACATGTATTCTTCTCTTTCTCTCTCCTCACATCTTCTAAGTAAGTTTTCTTCAATAAAAAACTATCTTGCTTCATTAAAAAATCAAAAATAAGGAAGCTATTCAATTAAAAAACACAAAAAATAACAATAAAATTTTAAAAATCCTAACATTATTCTCTCGGGTCGGCCATGTTGGCCGCTTGTAAGGCAGACGCCCTACCACTGTGCTAGCGGCGGAGCGATAGCACAGCGGTAGGGCGTTTGCCTTGCACGCGGCCAACATGGCCGACCTGAGTTCGATTCCTCCGCCCCTCTCAGAGAGCCCAGCAAGCTACCGAGAGTATCTCGCCCGCAGGGCAGAGCCTGGCAAGCTCCCCATGACGTATTCGATATGCCAAACACAGTAACAACAAATGTTACTGGGCCTGCTCAAGCAAATCGATGATCAATGGGAGGGCCTTTACTTTTTTTACTTTTAACATTATTCTCTAATTAGAGGTACTTGAATGTGGTCTCTTCCTCAAAATATTTTACTGTACATAGAATTTTCAGTCTGGGGTTGATCAGAGGTAACTGAAAGCATGAAAAGTGAAACTTACAAGTAAGGAGGAGGTACTGGTCTTGGAGCAATAAGAAAGAAATACCTTGGTTGGGCCAGAGAGACAGTTCAGTGGCCCGGAGTACAGTCATTGCATGGAGGTCAACTAGGAGGTCCCTAGTTCAATCCCCAGCACCTCAGGGTCCCACAAGCAATGCCAGAAATGACCTCCAAGTACAGAATCAGAAGCATCTCAGAGCACTGCTGGCTGTGCCCTTGACCCCCTCACCCCCAAAGATTTTACACTGTTGAAATTACCACCTTCGTTGACTTTCTCAGGATGCCATCCTGTTGTCCAACCCAGGGAAAAAGTCACATCTGAGAAGAAGGAGGTCACCGTGTCGATAAAAGGTTTCGCATCCACCACTCTGCTACTGCCGTTTGGACCAGGGAGAATATCAGCATTAATCCACACGGGCCGGTGCAGGTGCTGCTTCACAGCTTCCAAGAGCATCATGGACGGTTTTACAGCTGCCAGGCTGAAAACAGATTTGTCAATGAGAGTCAGTTCTTAAGTTAAAGGAGGAATGAGAAATTTCTTTACATTCTTTTAATGGTTCCAATGCTCTCAAATACATAATGAAGGGATAATGTAATGGTATAAAAAATAAGTGAAATCAAATATGACTTAGCACTGAAGGGGGAAGTTAACATATGCCATATCTCAAAACGTTGATTTATACTAATTAGTCATGAAGACACCTGTATACTCACACATATATCTTATGTGTGTGTGTGTGTGTGTGTGTGTCACACCCAGCAATGCTCAGGGGTTACTCCTAGCTCTGCACTCAGGAATTACTCCTGGCAGTGCTCAGAGGACCATATGGGATGCTGGGAATTGAATCTGAATCAGCTGCATGCAAGGCAAACGCTCTACTGCTGTGCTATCTCTCCAGCCCCACAGATATATCTTTTTATTTTGATATGAAAACAATTTAAGAAACAGCAAATAATCACTCATCAGGATGTGTATAAATAACATTTAAAATTATAGCTTTGTGGGGCCAGAGCGATAGCACAGCGGGTAGGGTGTTTGCCTTGCACGTGGTTCACCTGGGTTCAATCCCCGGCATCCCATACGGTGCCCCAAGCACCGCCAGGAGTAGTTCCTGAGTGCAGAGCCAGGAGAAACCCCTGAGCCTCGCCGGGTGTGGCCCAAAAAGCAATATATATATATATATTGTAATATGCAAATTTCCGCACAGCAGAGCCTGGCAAGCTCCCCATGCTGTATCCAATATGCCAAACACAGTAACAACAAGTCTCAAAATGGAGACATTACCAGGCCCACTCAAGCAAATCGATGAACAACGGGAGGACAGTGTTTGTTTGTTAAAGTGTCCTGGCTTTCTGCTTGCTGTTCCATCACGCCAGGTGAGTTTCCTCCAGCTGACATCACTGGGCCAACCCTTGAACGGGAGGTAGAGCTCCTCCCTCCCACCTACGTCCCATCAGCCTCCATGCCTGCACCATATTAAGGGCCCACGCCATAGTGTATGGCACAGTTCCCAAAGCGCGCAACCACTTAAGTGCCTCAGGACAGAGCTTCTCAACAAATTTCTTCCTTACTGCTCAGTTACACTTCCTGTCATTTGGTGAAGGCAGAGAAGAAAGAGTGCAACCTCCAGCCTAACCCCTCAGCATCTTCCAGAATATCTAACCACAATGACTCACCCCCAACACAGCAAGAGCACTAGAAACCCCTGGGGAAACCATGGAGAAGCCCAACAAATTCAATGAACATAAATAATATCACCAGAGACACAAACAACACCAACCAGCTAGCTCAGTAAATCCTCTGACAATGACTTTACTTTTTTCCTACATTATTTTTCTTTTATTCAGAATGTTAATTGTATTTTTTAATTATTATTTTTAAATCACCATGAGATACAATTACAAGACTTTTCTGTTTGAGTTTTAGTCATACAATGATCCATCACCCAACCCTCCACCAGTGCACAACTTCCACCACCAAGAACCCCAATATCCCCTCCCATTCAACCCTTCTCCCTGCCTCTATGGCAGACAATCTCCCCCATACTCTCTTTTGTATTGCTTGTTATGAATAGCAGAAGATGTTGCACTGCCACAAGAGCGGCTGTGTGCTCCTGGAACTCCAAAATTCCAGATAATTAGGGTCTGGAGAAATATCTGCTGCATGCTCAGTTCAGAGTTTCTTTTGTGTGTCTCTGGATCATGGCTGCCAAGGAGCTTAAGTAGCAGCCAGAGGCAGTTTGTGGGTGTGACCTCCAGGGTCCCATGGGGACAGAGAGATGAGAATGACCGGTCCATCCCCTTTCCCTTGAGGCTGGAGTTTGCCATCACTGAACCCTCATACCTGTACCTCTCATTGACTTCTGGAAGTTAGCGGCCACGAGGGTTTTTAGGGGGCATGTGACTCCTACCCCTGTCTGAGGCACTCCAGTGAGGTCGGCCTGGCTTAAAGTCTGGAGGCATCTCTGTAGTGAACTGCTTGGTTCAGAGATTCTTTTGTGTGTCTCTGGATCATGGCCCTTATTTCCATCTTTTCCAGAAAAATAAACTATTGGCATATGCCCTGTAGGCTACGCCCTCTCACCCGCAGTGCATTGCACTTCTGGCCCTAACTGCAGTTTTGATCTCTTTCGAGATTTATGGGTCTCTGAAATAAGGCCAATAAATGAGCTTGTATAGCTGAGCTGGAGAAGGTTTGTGGGTGTGACTACCACATACCTAACTTTTGGCCATTTAATTTCTTGGTAAACTTGGCCCTAAGATGTTGGGATCTGGCCAAAGGCACAGTGACAATTTTTTTTCTCTTTTTCTTTTTTAGATTTTTATTAGTGAAATACCATGAGGTACAGTTGTAAATTTACAAATTTTTGTGCTTGGGTTTCAGTTATACAATGATCGAATACCCATCCCTCCACCAGTGCCCATTCTCCACCACCACCAATCCCAGTATCCCTCCCCTCACCGTCCCCCCCTCATCCCACCCTGCCTCTATGGCAGGGCATTCCCCTTTGTTCTCTCTCTCCTTTTGGGTACTGTGGTTTGCAAAAGAGACATTGAGTGGCAATCATGTTTGGTCTAAAGTCTACTCTCAGCACACATTTCCCATCCTGGGAGGATCCTCCCAACACTCTTTATTTGGCACTCCCTTCTCTATCTCAGCTCAGATAGAGATCCCCTATTCCTGATCCCCTATGTCAAGGTATCAGGAAGTCTGAAGGAAACATCAGGCTGCTGATACACTCACTGACAATGACATTAGTGTCACCATGAGGAGGATGTGTGACAAACTTGAAGAAATGATGGAGCAGGTAGTCAGCAAAGCACAAGAATGTATGAGTTGAAATGAAAATACTATTACAATCAGAAATGACAGGGTGAGAAAGATAGTACATATGGAGGGTGCTTGCTTTGCATGAAGCTGACCCAGGCTCAATCCCTGGCACTCAACATGGTCCCACACGCCCACCAGGAGTGATTCCTGAGTGCAGAGCCAGGAGTAAGTCCTGAGCATAGTCAGGTATATCCCCTTATCCTCCTCTTCAAAAACAAACCAAAAAAAGTACAAATGAAGAACATCACAAACCTGTGTCCCTCAAAAAGAATGCTTGTCCCAGGATGCCCACTCTCTCCACCTCTGTTCAATATAGTACTGGAAGTACTTGCAATAGTGGTTAGGCAAGAAAAAGATATTAAGGGCATTCGGATAGGAAAGGAAGAAATCAAGCTCTCACTATTTGCAAATGATATGATACTATACTTAGAGAACCCTAAAACCTCTACCAAGAAACTGCTAGAAACGATAGACTTGTAAAGTTGCAGGCTATAAAATCAATACCCAAAAGTCCATGGCTTTTCTGTACACAAATAAAGAGAGAGAAGAAAGTGACATGGAAAAAAAGCAATCCCATTCATAATCGTGCCTCAGAAAATCAAATGAAATGAGTCAAAAAGAGAGGGACAGACATAGAAAGACTGCACACATCTGGGGAATATGAGGTAACAGAATGGGAGACAAACACCCAAGAATAGTTGAGGTAAGTACCAGGAGGTCTGCTCCATGGCTTGGAAACAAGCAGCACATGCTGGGAGGAAAAGACAGCTCAGACAGAGAAGAGAACACCAAATAAAGGGTGTTTGGAGGATTTGCTCAGGATAGGAGATGCATGCTGAGAGTCGACTATGGACCGAACACGACAGCCACTCAATACCTTTATTGCAAACCACAACACCCTAAAGGAAAGAGAAAGCAAAAGGGAATACCCTGCCACAGAGGCAGGATGGGGTGGGGTGGGGGGATGAGGTGAGGTGGTGGAAGGGTTACTGGTGGTGGAGAATGGGCACTGGTGGAGGGATGGGTACTCGATCATTGTATAACTGAAACCCAAGCATGAAAGTTCGTAAGTCTACAACTGTACCTCATGGTGTTTCACTAATAAAAATTATTTAAAAAAATATAGAGCCAGGAGTAATCCTGGAAGACCACCAGATATAGATCCAAACAATAACAACAAAAAAACCCACGAATGCTTGTTGCAGTGAGCCTATGTACAAACACCGTGGCTATAGCAATGCCACCTTGGTGTGCACCATGACCGAGTTATGTGCACATGGAAACCTGATGCATGGCCACCAGCAAATGCCACAGCATATGAAACACTACAGCCAGGCATATGTGCAATGCTTGGACATTACAACAACATCAATAAGAATAAAGGAGTGGGGAGGAAAAATAGATTTTAAAGAATTAATAAGGAGCTGGAGAGACAGTTACAGGGGTCAGGCACTTATCCTGCATGCAACTGAACTGAGCCCCAGCATGGTATACGGTCCCCCAAGCACCACCAGGAATCGCTCCTGAAGACAGAGCCCTGGGCACTGCAAGGTGTTACCCCAATACCTCCCCCCACCTCCAATGTGGAGGACTTGTATCAAACACCACCTTTAAAGCTTTTAGGTATTTAATTCACCCACAGTATGATGAGGTTTACTGGTAAACTTAGCCCCACAACAAATCATTACAGTCATCTTAATAATGTTAAGACTTCTAAAACCTTATTAATTTCTTGAGATACTTTAACTAAAACATATTGTTCAGGGACTAAAAGATAATACAGCATGTAGGGATATTGCCTTGCATGTTGCAAACCGAAGTTTGATCCCCGGCACCATAAATGGTCTCCTGAACCACTAGGAGTGAGCCTTGAGTACAGAGCCAGGAGTAAGCCCTGAGTACTGTAAAGTATGGCCCAAACACCATAACAGAAAACCAAAACAAGACTAAAGAGTTGAGACTTACCATAGTTTAACATCAGCACCTCAGATTTTTCTAGCAGTTGACACTGTGGAATTATTGCTGAGCTTCTGTGGCATCACAATATATTGCTCACTTTAACTCTCATTTTACTTTACCAAAAGTATGACTTCCCATTTCAGTGTTGGAGCAAAGAAGAAAATCCCCCTCCCCCCAACCTCCAACCCCCAACCCCCAAGATCTTCTTAGGCTGGAGAAGTCAAAACAGAATCAGACAGATTAGCCAGAGAAAGTAAATTTTACAGCACAATGTATAGAGAATTTACATGACTACAGATGCAAATGAAAAACCAGGTAGGTCTGGATGGATTGTCTGTGTTGAAGGAGCCTGGCACTCAGGAGAGGGGCCACATAACAGAGAGGAGGAGGGTTGCTTCGTTGTTACTCTGACTTAAAAAGCTGAGTTTCCCTGATCACCAGTCAAGTTACTTTATAATGATAACGTCCTTAAAGCAGAGATTGCATTTATGGGGATATTATTTTTTGTTCATTTGTTTGTTTTGGGACCACACCCTGCAATGCTCAGAGCCAATTTCTGCCTCTGTGCTCAGAGATCACTCCTGGAGAGCTCGGAGGTCCATGTGGGGTTCCAGGGATCAAGCCAAGGTCGGCTGTGTGCGATGCAAGCTCCCTTCGCACTGTACCATCTCCCCAGTCTGCTTTTTCAATTAGACAAAAGACAGTGATAGATAAGAACCCAGTCCCAGGGTCTTCACTAACCCTTTTGTTCCCCCAAGCAATTGTGTAGCTTTATTGATGCGGCAGCTGGAAAGTGAATTTTGTAAAAAAACAAAAACAAAAACAAAAACAAAAAACCTCCCATATGACATTCTTCTTCTATACATATATCCTTTTATTTATTTAATTTATGAGAGAGAGAGAGAGAGAGAGAGAGAGAGAGAGAGAGAGAGAGAGAGAAGAAAAGTGCCTGCCATAGAGGGGAACCTGGGGACACTGGTGCTGGGAAATGTATACTGGTGGAGGGATGGGTGTTAGAACACTCAATGACTGAAACCTAATTATTAACAACTTTTTAAGGGTCTATCTCACAGTGATTCCATTGAAAAATATTTTTAAATAAAATGTTCTTTCTAGAAAAAAATACATTTTATTAATTTTTTTTATGATTGAGGCACTACGACATGTAATACTGTTAATGATGGCTGTGTATGTATTCCAACACCACATCCATCACAAGTGTACACAGCTCCAATGCCCCTCCCTTTCAACGCTCCCTCTCCCCAAACTCAGTTTTGTGATCAGTTCTGTTGTGTTGCATTTGATCATTTAGCACTGTGGTGCTATGTCTCCTAAGTTCCACATTTGAGAAAGATAATTCTGTATCTGTCCCTTTCCTTCTGAATGACTGTACTCAGCATGATACCCTCTAGTTCCATCCATGTTGTGGTAAACTGAGTTGTGGTACATATACACCCAGTGGAGCACTCTGCAGCCTTCCCTATTCTTGATCTCAATCTTCTGTGGGTCCATAATGAACATTTTCTCCTGAGCCCACCGGGCCCTGCCCAACCCCATTCCCAGGTGCTCGCTAGAGAGGCCTACCCTGGGTAAAGTCAGGAAAACCTCCTGACCCTTTTAGGGAGACTGTGCCCACAAGCAGCCGTGCCAAAGAAAATAACACTTAACCTTGCTCTTCATTAGCAATGCACCCAAACTATTATCAAATTATTATTTTGGTTTGGGGCCTATACCTGACTGTGCTCAGAAATCATTCCTGGTCTACCTCTGTGCTCAGAAATCATTCCTGGAAGTGTTCAGGGAACACTTTGATGTTTGATCCTAGAGATCAAACATGTGTTTGCTACTTGCAAGGGAAGTGCCTTACTATCTCTCTGGCCCCAAAATACTATTTTAAAGGATCACTTTTTTTTTAGGGGCTAAGAGGGTGGGGCACACCTGGCAATGCTCAGGGCTTGCAACTGGCTCTGCACTCTGGAATTATTCCTAGTGACACTCAGGGGACCATGTGGGATGTCAGGGATCGAACCCAGGTTGGCTGCATGCAAGGTAAGTGCTCTGCCCACTGTACTCTCTCTCTAGTCCCTAAAGGAACTTTTTGATAATTCAACAATTATAAATAATCCCTGCACATAAAACCTCTGGGTATGACCCTCAGTCCCTTACTTCCCCAAAAACCATAAATCAAGTAGTATATGCCGTACCCCCAAGAAAACATGCTAATGTTTTCTTACCCTGGGCAACTTTTTAGAATTTCCCACTCAGTTATCACAATAGTTACCTATGATAAATCCCTTTATAAAATTTAATTTAATTTTAGCTTCCAAAGGTTCCCAAGAAGCAATGTGGCAAACAACACACCTTAGGTCCATGCCTGAAATATAGCTTGAAATTCTATTTCTAATTTATTTCTTTATTTTACATTTATTTTTAAATTTGGGAGTAGGGTGATACCTGGCAGTACTCAGGACTTCTGGCTCTATGTTCAAGGATCACTTGCAACAGTCTGCAGGAAACCAGATGTGGTGCTAGTGACTGAGCTAGGACCAGCTGCATACAAGGCAAATGCCTCAACCCCAGAACTACCTCACCAGTCCTCAATTTCCAATTCAGACAAAGTATAAAGTTACCTGGGCATAGATTTATGAAGTTGTTGTGTTTCTTTTTGGCCCCATTGTTCTTTGTAACAAATAAAAGACTGAACAAGTGCGTATAAATACCTCTTAAAATCCAACTTGATGCCTTTGTTGCTTTTTATAACTTCAGCCAGCCAATCCTGTAAAGTATTATCACTGTTTGTTTCAGGGGGATGGGCCATAATAGGCTGGCTGTGCTCTGATCCATCACTTGGAAGAATGACGTCAGCCTCTATCATGTGAGTAGTACCTGAGCAAATAAAATTTCTTAAGTTAAAGCCAATGTAACACAGACCACAGGAGATGCAATCTCTAATATCTTTTTTTTTTGCTTTTATTTATTTTTAAATTTTTATTAGTGAGACATCATGAGGTACAGTTGTAGACTTACAAATTTTTGTGCTTGGGTTTCAATTATACAATGATCAAATACCCATCCCTCCACCAGTGCCCATTCTCCACCACCAGTGATCCCAGTATCCCTCCCACCCCCCATCCCCCCATCCCGAGGCAGGGCATTCCCTTTTGTTCTCTCTCTCTCTTATTGGGTGTTGTGGTTTGCAAAAGAGGCAATGGGTGACAATCATGTTTAGTCTATAGTCAACTTTCCGCATGCTTCTCCCATCCTGGGAGGATCCTCCCAACACCTTTTATTTGGTGCTCCCTTCTCTAACTGAGCTCCCTTTTCCTGAGCATGTGTGGCTGGCCTCCAAGCCATGGAGTAAAATTCCTAGTACTTATCTCGGCCATTCTTGGGTGTTAGTCTCCTATTTTGTTACTTTATGTTCCCCAGATGAATGCAATCTTTCTATGTCTATCCCTTTCTTTCCGAGTCATTTCACTTAACATGATACTTTCCATGTAGTACCACTTGTATGTAAATTTCATGACTTCGTCTTTTCTAACAGCTACATAGTACTCCATTGCGTAAATGTACCAAAGTTTTTTTAACCAGTCATCTGTTCTCAGGCACGCAGGTTTTTTCCAGATTCTGGCTATTGTAGAGTGCTGCAATGAACAAACAATTGCAGATGTCACTTCGACTATACTTTTTTGCCTCTCTGGGGTATATTCCCAAGAGTGGTATTGCTGGGTCAAATGGGAGCTCAATTTCTAATTTTTTGAGAATCATCCATACTGTTTTCCAAAAGGGCTGAACCAGTCAGCATTCCCACCAGCAGTGAAGGAGGGTCCCTTTCTCGCTACAACTGCGCCAGCACTGGTTGCTCTTGTTCTTGTGGATATGTGCCAGTCTCTGCGGTGTGAAATGATATCTCGTGTGTGGTTTTGATCTGCATCTCCCTGATGATTAATGATGTGGAGCATTTTCTCATGTGCCTTTTAGCCATTTGGATTTCTTTTTTGTGAAAGTTTCTATTCATTTAATCTCCCCATTTTTTGATGGGGTTGGATGTTTTTTTCTTGTGGAGTTCAACCAGTACTTTGTATATCCTTGATATCAATCCCTTATCGGATGTGTATTTGGCGAATATCCTTTCCCATTCTGTAGACTGTCTTTGTATTTTGGTCACTGTTTCTTTTGAGGTGCAGAAGCTTCTTAGTTTAAGATAGTCCCATTTATTTATCTATGTTTTCACTTGCTTGGCCAGCGGTGTGTCATCTTTGAAGATACCATTAGCTTCAATGTCATGGAGGGTTTTGCCAACTTTTTCCTCAATGTACCTTATGGTTTCTGGTCTGATGTTGAGGTCTTTAATCCACTTTGATCTTACTTTTGTACATGGAGTTAGGCAGAGATCTGAGCCCACTTTTTTGCATGTAGCCATCCAGTTTTGCCAGCACAATTTGTTAAAGAGGCTTTCCTTGCTCCACTTCACTTTTCTTGCCCCCTTATCAAAGATTAGATGGTCGTATGCTTGGGGGGAGATGATATAGGCCTTTTGGGGGTAAATCTATAGGAGGGAGGGGGGAGGATCCTAAGTGGTGTTCAGAAGGTTCGGGAGTCCTATAGGCAACTCTTGGCCGACTGGGCTAGTGGATCAGCACAAGGGCCCCAGGATTCTCTGTTGTCAGATCCTGCAGTGCTGGGACCTCCAGGGCTGCCCCTGGCAATGGTCAGGGAACTCTACAGTGTCAGGAATCAAATCCAGATTAGGAGTAAAACTCTGTACTATCTCCTGGCTTGTTCATAAAGTTCTTAAGCAGTCCTCATATTATTTCATTTCTTCCCATACATGATAAAGTCAGTATATGTGGGAGCCCTAACAAGCCTTTGTTTATGGTTCTAAGAGTAAAAACAATACTTTCAGTTTTTCAATCTTCAAACTTGAAACTAGCCATGTACGATTAAATTCGGAATCCTATGCACTGACTCAGTTCTTAGACTTAAAGGTCACTGATTTAAAAGCAACCCTACAAAAGGCAGTAAGGTTCAAAGGTCACTAGGTATGAATGTTTTAGTAGATATGATAGGCTGATATGATTGGCTGACTCTAAAAATGGCTGAAGGTGATTTTTGCCTCTCTTTCTTGTTCTCTCTTACTTTTCCCCTTGCTGGGCTGTCTTTGAGACTTACTTTGACCACGAGAAGAAGGTGAAAGTAAAACCGTCCATTCCAGGTCTAGATCTTAAAAGTCTGGCAGCTTCTGTGTTCATCTTAAAATTCAGATACCATGAAAGGAAGTTTAGGTAAAGCTAAAGAAGACTCATAGAACACATGGGGGGCGGGGGGGAGAGGGGAAAAGACAGAGAGAGACAGAGAGACAGAGATAGAGAGACAGAGACAGAGAGAGATCACATGAAGGTCTCCTGTCTGACAACATTAAAGGCTTCTGACATGTGAGTAAGCCACTTTAGAATTTCTAGGCTTATCAGTGTTCCTGATCTGTATACCACATTTCACTATAACTGTCACTGTCCTCTCATTGTTCATCGATTTGCTCAAGTGGGCCCAGTAACGTCTCCATTGTGATACTTGTTACTGTGTTTGGCATATCGAATACGTCATGGGTAGCTTGCCAGGCTTTGCCGTGTGGGCGAGATACTCTTGGCAGCTTGCCGGGCTCACCTAATGGGGTGGAGGAATCGAACCTGGGTCAGCCGCATGCAAGGCAAATGCCCTACTTGCTGTGCAATCAGTTGACCCACAAAATCAGGAAAATTATAAATCCTTACTTGAGGCCAGCAAGAATTAGGTGTACTTTATTATTCACAATAGTAAACAGTAACAAAAGCTTGAAACATGGCACTTGTTTGTGGATCAAGTGTATTCTTTCTATAATCGAGGCAGGGAGGACACACTAATGGAAACTGAAAGAGCAACAAAGAAATTGAGAGAGGCATCTGTTTTATATACCGCAGTAACGCTTTGGGCAACATCACAGCAACAAGGAGAGGATGAGATATCTGAAGAATGTGTGGGATTTTTGCTTAAGGAGGTTGTCAGGCAAAGAGTTTAAAGTGTTAACTATCTTCTTTTAAATGACTAAAATAAAGAATAGGCAGAGATCAGCGAGTTAAGGCAGCATACAAAGAAACTATTCCCAATTTAGCATTTGCGCTAAATTAGAACATAACATCATGCATCCTCAAGTAAGTGCAGTCTCAGGTCAAAATTACAGTCAGGATACTGCTAGGAAACTTTGGTTTGACCATCAAAACCAAAGCAAGTGTGGAATCTGGACAAATCCTTGACCTTGGATTACAAACTCAGATTACCCAGCACTTCAGGAAGGTGTGGCAGGTAATAGAGAGGTGGACTGGAAATAACATAAGGACACTGGTGTGTGGGGCCAGGCACTTTGGTGATAGTGGGATCCAGTGACTTTTTGCATCAAAACTTAAATATGAACACCATTGTAATCATGTTACCTACAGCACAATCAAAGATACACGTTAAAGACTTCAGCTAGGCAGCAAGTCCTGTATCCACACCACTAGGAAAAAAAAAAGAACATCCAGAATATTGGGGCTATAGCCATAATACAGTGGGTAAGGTGCTCGCCTTGCACATGACCAATATGGGTTCTATCTCCAGCATCCCAAATGGTAACCCCCTCCCCGCCCTGAGCACTATCAGGAGTAATTCCTGAGTGCAGAGCCAGGAGTAACTCCTGACATCACTGGGTGTGCTTTCCTCAAAAAAAAAAAAAATTATAATAACTTCCAGAATCTTAAGGGTATTGTACCAGGTTACTTTATAAAGTACTATATCTAAGAGATTTTGAGGTGAGTGACTTATAAATTGATATATAGAAAGTCCACAACCTTTTAAACGAAATTGTTTCCACTTGGACCCAAAAAGACAGAGTTCTAAATGAAAAGAGCTCTGTGGGCTCTCAAATTTCTAAGGGCAAGAAACAGAATGAAAAGCTACTCAGCTGCAAATGGAGGTGATTTTTCAATAGACCCATGTAGATATGCTCAACAGTATTAATCTTTAGGAAAATGAAAATCTAAAACACAATGAGATGCCAATCCACACAGACAGGGATGGTTATAATGAAGAAGAGTAACAAGCGTGGTTTGGCAAGGACAAAAAAGGAGTTGAGAACCTCAGTGATTCTGTTGGTGGGGATATAAAAAGGTGCCGCTGCTCTAGAAAAGCTTGGCAGTTCCTCAAAATGTTAAACGAGTTACAATACGACCCAGCAATTTCACTTCTAGACACATACAAGTGAAGTGCAATATGTTTCCACAAATAATCTGAACACAAACGCTCACAGCAACATTATTTATAGTAGCTAGGAAATGAAGCAAGCCCAAATGTCTATCACTTGATGAATGACTAAACAAAATGTGGTGCAACCATACAAAAACTATCATTTGGCCACAAGAATAAGATCAGAGCTGGAGATAGCCTTCATCTTACAGCTGATTTCCAGCATGAGTACAGGGGCTGGAGAGATAATACACTGGGTAGGGCACTTGCCTTATGGAGCACTATGCCTTGGATTTGATCCACCACTAGGTATAGCCCCTAAGCATTGTTGGAGAGGCCTTTAATTTATGTTTAATCAAAAAAAAATTAAACTAGGATATAAAAGAAGTCTCCTGCCCCTGTGCCTGGCTGTTCCTCGCCGGGGTCCCTTGGAGGGGAGTGGGTTGAGCTTTCCTCCCCGCCCCGACCAGGGCTCCGGCAGCCGAAGACCTCCAGGACCAGCCACCACCATGCCGAGACCACTCTCCGCACACATGAAGGTACTGGCAGAGGGACAAAGCCACGCGGGTTCTGGGGCCAAGATCTCCAAGCCTACTCGGATTGGAGTTGAGCATCCTCCACCCAGATCCTCCAAATCCCAGTAGGCGGGGGTCACACCCACCACCTGGCCCCCTGGCGCCGTGTAATCCCATCAGCGGCCAAGACTCAGAGACTATAAAATCCAGCTCCCGGAACCGCGCGGCTACGGCCGTGCGCGCGACATCTTATCAGGACATCTTTTTATGACATCTTATTATCTCATTCCTACTTTGGACAAACTGGCAGGCTATCGAATGTAGCCTGCCCACAGGGCAGAGTCTGGCAAACTCCCCGTGGCGTACCAAATATGACAAATACCAGTAACAATGATGGGTCTCATTCTCCTAAAGAGCCTTGAATATAATCTCAGGGCTAGGATGAAAGAGACGTTACTGAGGCCTGCTTGAGGCAATTGACGAATAACAGGATGATGAATGAATGAATGAATGAATGAATAAAAGAAGTTAAGTGGCTTCTTTATAAATCATTCATTCATCCCTATATATATGTATGTTTTAATTAAAAAAATATATATATAAAGGAATACTCCATGCACTTTTTTTTCTACAACAGAAAAATTTTGAGAAAAGAACACCATGCTAAGTGAAAGAAGCTAGTCACATATTTTTTAAAAACTATAAAATGCTGTCCATAATTTTGATTTTGAGACGAGAAAAAAAATTTCCTTGATGAAATGGGAAATTAGGTGATACCAAAGCATTAAAGTGTAAGAGAACATATAGCCAGTAAAGAAATCGGATGAGGGGGACCTGAATGATAGCACAACGGGTAAGGCACTTGCCTTGCACACAACCAATCCAGATTCAATTCCTGGCACCCCACATGGTTCCTAGGAGTGATCCCTGAGTGCAGAGCCAGGAGTAAGCTCTGAGCACAGCTGGGTGTGACCCAAAACAAACAAACAAGTAAATAAATAAAAAGAAAGAAACCTGATGAGGAGCAGAGTTTAGATATAAGGCAGGACTTAACAGATTTCTAAGGTGATTTGAAGACTCCAATAAATAGCACTTCGTTCCCCACCTAGATTCTGAAAAATAAAACTGTTAAGTTAGCAGATCGAACTCACAGTATTCCCTTTATCACCTAGAAAGCTAAGTCAGAAGGTGCGACTTAGATGAGAAGTAAATGAGTTTATCAACTCCTAACTTCTAGCGCTACCTCCCAGTCCAAACTAAGAACAGCTGCTTCAAAGGAAAGCTCCAGCAACTTTCTGCTGTAGGAAATACCCAGATTTCTGCCTCCCTCTGTCCAGGTGGAAGAGGAGAAAGGAGCAAACTACTGGCCCAGGAACACTGACAGGTCAGCTCCACTCAGTTAAACACTAGGTAACAAAAGTCTACCTCAGTGAGAGGAATGGAGAAGATAATCCTAAAACATTTAGGGGGATAAAAATTCCTTCCAGAAACCAGAGTGACGGGCCTCTAACCAAGATAGTTATAGTAACTACTTTAAGTGGTCATATGGAAGGTTGCCTGGGGACACTGGTAGAGAGAAAATGACACTGATGGCAGGATTGGTGATAGAACATTGTATATCAAACACTCAACTATGAGTAATTTTGTAACTCGTGGTGCTTTAATAAAATAAAATTTGGGGGAAAGGAAAAAAATCACCTGACTTATGCTTTAAAACTTTGGATTCGTAGAAAATGAACTGGACAGGAACAGGGAAAGAGACTTGCCAAATGAAGGCACAATTCTACCAAGAGCTCTGGCTTCAAGTGAACAAAAATTCAGATTCACTCTAATGAAGACTCTACATCACACGACTAAGGAGTACAGGAGAGGGTGAGCTGCAGGCATGCAGCAGACCAGTGATGCTCTCAGGATCTTCCCGTCTCAATTCCTCACTGTCTTGGTGTTGCCTTCAGCTGATTTGCAGTATGTGTGGAGGGGCTGGAGAGACAGTACAGTGGGTAGGACACTTGCCTTGAATACAACTGATGTGGCTTCAATCCCCAGCATCCCAAATGGTCCCCAAGCACCAGCAGAAGTAATTCCTGAACACAAAGCCAGTGTGGCTTTAACCCTGAGCACCGCCAAGTATGGGCCCAAAACAAAACCCAAAAAACCAAACACAAAAAAATCCCCATTATGATTGTAAAATAACACCAGTACCATAAAGGTAAAGGTAAAGGCCCTCCCGTTGTTCATCGATTTGCTCGAGCGGGCCCAGTAACGTCTCCATTGGAGACTTTGTTGTTACTGTGTTTGGCATATCGAATACGTCACGGGGAGCTTGCCAGGCTCTGCCGTGCGGGCGAGATACTCTCGGTAGCTTGCCGGGCTCTCCGAGAGGGGCGGAGGAATCAAACTCGGGTTGGCCATGCTGGCTGCATGCAAGGCAAACGCCCTACCGCTGTGCTATGGAGTTACATATTTTCAGAGATTTCAATTTATACAGGTATCTTCCTTAATAATAATGGATACAACATATAATCAATATACTTTACTTGTGGAACCAAGTCAGATCACTTGCCCTCCGTAAGAACAAAACGGTTCATCAAAAAAAGTGCAAGTGCTGAGTAAACTTATTCTCACTTAATCTCATCTACACCTGTAGTTGGAAACAGAATCATTCTCCAGGAGCAGAAATTGGGTCTATTCATCAAACTCAAGTGTTTCATCTGTTTTCTTGCTTGCTTTTAAGGTTTCATATGGTAGTGCTTAGAAATGATTGCTATTCACAGGTAAATTAAAAAAAAAAAAAACAGGATATATTCTGTGCTTCCCCGGCACCTCCAGAAGTGGCTGCCAAGCATATAGTTAGGAGTAACCCCTGAATACCACCAGACCTCTCCACAAAACAAAACAAAATAAAATGAAAAAGTATGTATGTACCTCATTATTCAAGTACTGTCCAGCCCAGCCCACTGAACACCTTCCCCACTTCAGGATTCCTTCCCTTCCCACTCTGGCAAGCTCAGTGTTGTGTTCAGAAATCCAGGGTTGGTTTTGCTTGACTTTGTCTATAAAATAACTTTTGTAGGGGCCAGAGAGATAGTACAGTGGGTAGGGTGTCTGCTTTGCATGCAACCAACCTGGGTTTGATCCTCGGCATCCCATATGATCGGCCAAGCACCTCAGGACTAATTCCTGAGTGCAAAGCCAGAAATAACCCGTATGGCCCAAAAACAAAACAAAAAGGCTTAATATTTTCTTTTTCACTAGCATATTTTTAATACAAATGCTTTTAAAATCTACATTCAGAAATGTATTGCATAAAACTATTATTTTGTGGAATAATGTCTATGAACCAGTCTTGACAGCCAGACAAGGCGACCTGAGACTCAGTGCCGAGCTCATCGGGGGGCTCAGCACTAGGGTTCAGTGAGGCAGTGTTGGGGTCACGGGGGCCACTCTTGGGGTTGCTGAGAAGAGGGGGTTAGCAGCGCTGGAGATCAAACTAGATCAAACTCAGAAACATGCAAAGCATGAGCACTGGCCCCTGAGCTCTCTCCCTTGAACTTCTCATGTTGAGTCACTCACTTCAAACTAACACAAGTCCTCAGTGATTCGCTTTCACTGTCCACTGCGGCTGCCAACAGGGGCACTTCATAGGAAAAGGCTAGGAAAACTGCCACTGTGTTCAACTACTAATGAACGGATATACAGATACGGCCACAGATTGAATTTTTCTGTTTGTTTATGAACCTCACCTGGTGATATTCATGACCTAGTCTGTGCTCAGGGATCACTTCCAGTGGTGCTCAGGGGACCAATTGGTGAGAAAGAGAGAACCAGGGTTCTCCACATGCAAAGCATGTGCCTTAACCTCTATATATCTCTTTGACCCTAGGTTGATTAAACCAAAAGGCCTGGTGTTTAGTCTAGGAATAAATATTGCCAAAAGCAATTAATTATAAATCAGTATACAATGGCTTCATTCATTCATTCATTCAAAAATTATTTATTAAATGAACTTCTTAGTACATTCTAAGAAACTCAAAACTATGTAAGACTCTTGAACCTGATCTTTAAAATCTTACTCAAATACAATATATAAGCAAGTATAATAATAATATATAATAGTTTCAAATAAGACAAAAGAAAATCACTTTTGGAAAATAAGAAAATCCTTTTTTTTATTTTTTTAGGTGGTGGTGGTAGTGGTGGTGGAGGGCATTTGCTAAGGCAACACCTATTGGTGCTCAGATGCTATTACTGGTTCTGTGCTCAGGAGTGACCCATGGTGGTACTTAGGGAACTAAATGTGGTGTTGGGGATGAACCCGGCTTGCCATTAAAGTGGCAGGGCAAGTGCCTTACTTCTGGTATCATCTCTCCTCCCCGTAAAACATGCTCCATCCTTTCATTCTGGAATTTGTTCATTCTGCAAACAAAATTCTATCTTTTATGAAAATGTTTACGTCAGCTTTGAATTTACTTGGACCCGGAGGTCTCTAATACTGCTAATAGTCCTCAATAGTCCTGAAATCAAAGTTTTGATACCTCCAATGCAAATAAATACATGAATCTTGACTTACTTCTCAGTGCCTCATTCATTTGAGCCTTGTGGTTAGCTGCATGAGACCAGGTGATCTGGGCGCCATCGTCTGCTGTTATCTGATTATTTCTCAGAAAATATTCCAATATGTTTTCACTCCAAGAACCTAAAATAACGGCATTTACAAAGAAAGGAATGATTCATAAAGTAATTTACACTTCTCCTTTTTTGTTTTAACTTTTCACTCTCTTTTAAGAATGCTGAGGATCAAACCCAGGGCCTTATTCATGTGAAGTCTGAGCTCCACCCCTGAGTTGATCCCCTGCCTCAAAGAAAACATCTTCAGACTGACAAAGAGAGAAAATATAAGGTAATTTTATTGGGAGAACTACAAGATTTTTAACAGGTATTATGATGTGGCAAGTATTATATATAAACACATACAAGTGCCATATGTTAATATGTCCCATATATAATACATGTAAGTATTCATTAGTAAATATATAGAACTGTCTGAACCTCAAAAGAATGAAGTAATATATAGGAAGAAAAAAAACTGCTAAGAGTGCTTGTGGCGGAGGTGGTCCTGGCACTGGGGATCAAATCAAGAACCTCAGAAATGCATGACAGACTGTGGTATTACCACTGGGCTAAACTACTGGCCCAAGGAGCAGATCCTTAAACCAGAAATTTTCACACATGGGTCCATATAAGTAAAATGCTTAGAAATCCAAAGTTATATGTACAAAAACGTCCAACTTTTGCACAAAGTAATTGTTTTTTCCAGCTCACACTCTATTTTGTGTTTACATCAAGAATTTGTTTTGGAGGTGGCAGGGTTGGGCCAAACTCAGCAGTGCTCAAGAATTACTCCTGCTTGTGATCTCTCCTGGTGGTGTTCAGGGGACCATATGTGCTGCCGGGGATCGAACGAGGATTGCATGTGAGGCAAGCACCTTATCTCCTTAATATCTCTCCAGTCCCTCTATCAACAATTTAGAACCTTAAATTATACGTTTTTGCAAATTCAACTTCAAAGTACAAGCCTCAGTAACATTTTTATGGGTAAGTAAACACCAGAGTTAGTATATTTACTAGATTTATATCACAGAGAAAATTAAGCATGATTCTATTAAAATCTATCAACTATTTTTGTAAACCTGATTTTACTCTTACTAAAATATGTGACTTAACCAACTAACACGATTGGAGAAATAACAGTGAAATAGCTGATTCCAGTTCTATTTCACATTATGCCACATGTTAATATAACAATGGGCAAAATATTGTGATATCAGTAACCCTTAATTTTGCCTCCCTAATTCTTCTCATTCATTTAAATATGAAAATAAAGCTCCTAGGGGGCTGGAGTGATAGCACAGCGGGTAGGGCATTTGCCTCACATGAGGACAACCCGGGTTTGATTCCCAGTATCCCATATGGTCCCCCGAGCACCGCCAGGAGTAATACCTGAGTGCATGAACCAGGAATAATCCCTGTGCATTACCGGGTGTGACCCAAAAAGCAATAAAATAAAATAAACAAAATAATTTTTAAAATAAATAAAATAAAATAAAGCTCCTAGGCTGTGAATTCCCTATGAATGAAATTGTCTTCTGAAAATAAATTTCATCAAACAATAAAAAACTAGAAAATAATCAGAAATTGCAAAGAAAACAATTCACAATGAAAAGGCATGTAAAGATAAGTTCTAATATGACTGGAACTTAGCAATCACTCTATGTTGGTTTATAGAATAAAGATAGAAGTCCATTTCCCCCCTACATATTATCAAGAAACAAAGGAATCTGGAATTAAAGTAATACCATTTATATAAGTACTCCCAAAATGAAACTTTTAAGAATAAATCTAACATAATATGAAGAAAACTATAAAACTCAACATACATCTTTGGCCAAAGAGCAAAATCATATAGTCTTTTCAACAAATAGTGTTGAAAAAAAAAACAAATAATGTTGAAACAAAGAATATTCACTTACAAAAAAAAATTAAGTCACAAACCTTGTATCCTTCACAAAAATTAATTTAAAAAAAAGTAAAACTAGAAGATTACTAGAAGATAGCACAGTAGGAAACCTAGACAGTATTCAGATTGCAACAGTGCCTGATCCATGAAAGAAATAAATGATATGTTGGACCGGAGTGAAAGTACAGTGGGTAGGGCATTTGCCTTGCAATCAGCTGACCCAGTTCAATCCCCAGCATCCCCTATGGCCCCTCGAGCACCGTCAGGAGGAATTTCTGAGTGCAGAGTCGGGAGTAAGCCCTGAATATCACTGGGTTTAACTCAAAAAGCCAGAAAAATGGAAAAGAAAGAAATGATATGTTGAGCTTCATTGAACTTAGAAACTTTCCCACCAGATACAGTACAGAAGTTAAGGCAATTCCCTTGCAATGCAGTCAATGTGAGACTGATTCCTGGCATCAAGCATGGTCCCCCAAACACCAGCTGGGATCACTCCTGAGCACAAAGCCAGGAATAGTTCCAGAGCACTGCCAGGCATAGTCAACCCATCTTCCCCAAATAATAAAGATTAGAGATTTCCTGCAGCCAGAGAAATAGCTCAACATTGTATGCACTGCAATTCAGAAGGCCCATGTTCATTCAGACACAGCATAATCCTGGCACTGAGCTAGGAGTCGCCCCTCTGCCCAGCCCCTAAGAATTAGAAATTTTTGACGAGAAAGACAGTATCCAAAGAATAAAAGGACGGAAAAAAGAAAAAAGGAAAAGAATAAGAAGACCAGCTATAGAGTAGAAAATTTTGTTTGCAAAGGACATTTGATAAAACTGGCTTCAAATGCTGATTCATAGACACTTGATGATACACAGAAATTTCCTACCAGTAGGTGTAAAAGTTTCTGCTGCTTAAATGACAGCGAATTTGAATATTCAATCTCAATATGAACCAGCACCAACCTATACATTTGAAAATGTTATAACTTACTTAGAATTGTTGTCTAAAATATACAAAGAATTAAATTTAAAAAATTTTTAAAAAGAATTCAATCAATGGGAAAATGAATGATCGGATTAAAAATCTGAAATCAGACATTTCATTAATGAAGATATTCACATGTCAAGTAGCATACGAAAAGATGCTCCACTTCATGTTATCACGGAAATGTGTTATCACGGAAATGCAAACACACACAACAAGGAGAAACTTTTTAGAAGGAACCAAATCCAGCATACTGACACCCAAATGCTGGTAAGAAGGTAGAGAAAAGGAACTCTCTTCTTTGTTGGTGGGAATACAAAATGTTACAGTCACTTTGGAAGACAGTTTTTGTAGCTTTTCATAAGGAAACATAACTCTTACTACAGGTTCCAGTAATCACACTCCTTGGTTGGTGCTGATCCAAAGAAATTGAGAACTTACATTCACACAAAAAGTGCACAGATGTTTATAGCAGCTTTATTTAAAACTGCCAAAACTTGGATGCAACCAAAATGTCTTTCATTTGGTAAGTGGGTAAATTATGACACACTTAGCCAAGAGAGTATTATTCAACACAAAAAAACAAACAAACCAAAATAAACAAAAAAATTCCCAGAGTCATCAAATTAAAAAAAGACCTGGAGGAAATTTAAATGCAGTGAAATCCTAAGTGAAAAAGCCAAATAAAAATTTCTATGATATGGTTCCAGCTAAATAACATTCTGGAGAAGGCAAAACTATGCAGACACTTAAAAAAAAGTGTTGGTCAATGCTCAAAACAGAGGCGTATATGTGTGGAGGGGTCTGGGGTGGTGAATAAGCACAACCATAGAATTTATGAATTTTGGGGGGTTTAGTTTTGGTTTGGGGGCCATATTCAGTGGTGCTCAAGGTTTATTCATGGCTCTGTACTCAGGAATCACTTCTGGCAGAGCTCAGAAGACCACGTGGGGTACCAGGACTAGAACACGATCCCACATGCACAAGGCAATTGAGCTACCCACTATACTATCACTCTAGCCCAGATTTTAGATTTTTGCTCAAGCTGGCCCAGTAACGGCTCCATTGTGAGACTTGTTATTACTGTTTGACATATCAAATACGCCTCGGGTAGCTTGCCAGGCTTTGCTTCGCATGCGAGATACTCTCGGTAGCTTGCCAGGCTCTCTGAGAGTGGTGGAGGCATCAAACCCGGCTTGGCCCGGCTGGCTGCACACAAGGAAAGCGGCCTACCTCTGTGCTATCGCTCCAGCCCTTTTAGATTCTTAAAAAATGTTTAAAATTTAATTTACTGTGATTTACAAAATTATTGATAGTTTTAGGCACATAATATCTCAACACCAATCCTACCACTAGTGTCAACTTCCCTCCACCAGTGTTCCCATATACCATTTCCCAACCCCCATCACCCACCCATCATCTTGCCAGGCACTTTACAAAGTTCCAGTGGTTGCAGTTTAGATCGCATGTTTTCAGTGTTGTTGGCTCTGCATGGATGAGGAAATGTATGTGTAAAGGGGAGATGACTAGGTCCCTCTGGACCCGTGTTTAGAAAAGAGAAGGACAGAGAAGGAAAGAAATCAAGCTGTAAGAGGAGGACAATTAGTTATGGGTGAACCAGAGTCAGGGCTTCATTTATACTGGTGATAGGGGTGAGTGGTATAGCCATATATCCAAAACACAAAACTCAACAACACGGATTTTAGATTTTTTTTTTATGGCAGTAAAACTGCTTTGCATGAAACTCTAAGGATGTATACATGTCACTGACTCAGTGAATTATGTACACCACCAGGTTAAATCACAAGCTTAAGTATGGTCTCCGAGTGATTATGTTCACAATTACAAAGCAGACTCAGACACCACCACTGTGGCGGGGTGGCCGCTTATCCAGGGGCTGAAATGACCATCTGCCACTCAATTTCCTGATAGCCCTAAAGCAGTTTTTAACGATGCAAGTCCCCCTTTTATTTATTCTTTTTATCAAAAAAAAAAAAAAAAGACAATCTACTGTCTTTCTAGGCCTCCCCAAATGCTCTCCCCCTTCACACTCATGCCCAGCACCAAGGTTCTGGGTCAGTTCATCGCACGCGGGCGCCGCGGCTCCGAGAAAGCCGTCAACGGAGGGGCCGGCCACCCCGGGAGGTTTCCAGGTGCCCCCAAGCTCAGCACCAGGGTCCAGAGGTTCCGGGCCAGCGCTTACCCGGGCCCCCGGCGCTCCCTGCCATGGTGACGGACGCCCTCGGGCCGCGCAGGCGCTGAGCTGTGGCCACCCGCCGCCGACCCGCGCAGGTGGAGGGGCGGCCCGGTCCCAGCCGAGAGCGCGCAGACGGCGGCGGCAGCGGAAGCGGAAGCGGTCGGTTCGCAGGCGTGCGCGCTGCGCCCTGCCTGGCGTGGCGTCCCGGGAGCTGGCCAGCGCAGGCCGCTCTGGCTGCGGGCGGCCCCTTTGGAAGGTCGACTTGGGAATCCAGGTCTGTCTAGCGAACTCTTCGGTGTTAGGCATGGCCGAGAGGGTGAGACCCCCAAATTCAAAATAGTTGCTGTGGAGTTTGAATCTTCAAACTTTAGATGTTTTTTTTCTCTTTCTCTCTTATTTAAAAGTTGGTGATACCGTTAAACGACGTGGGATCCTTTCTCCAGAAAAGAAACACTGTTTCTGCACAATGAAACGCAACTGTGTCTCACTTGTATCTCAGTAGGTTGGTCTCCTGTCTGGCAGGTCTGACGCTGTGCATTCCACCCCAGCATCATGGCACATGCTGAGTGCAGTACTCAGGCCACCGATGTTTGGGACCCTCCCCACTGCAACAGTGTGTGGATCTTGAGTGCACTTCAACCAAATGATCCCCCAGTAATCACAACAACAGAGATCATGGAAAGGCACATCCATGAATAAAAATAGGATAGGGCACTTGCCTTGCACATGGCTAAGGTTCGATTCCTGGAACTGCCTCATATGGTCTCCCAAGTTACGTCAGGAATGACCCTGAGTACAGAGCCAGGAATAAGCTTTGAGCACTGCTGAGTGTGGTCCCAACACCAAGATAAAAATAAAAAGAATGTAGCTTTAAGATCTCCTGTCTCTAAATATCTAGAATATCTGTTTACACACACACACACACAATCTTCTGACCTCTATTTTTATTGAAAAATTTTTTGCTAGCCTAATTGCTAATTCCCCTAATTTTAAGCTGCTTACTGCCCAATTCTAGTTTCAATGATGCCTGTTTTGATACCTCCTATATATTTTAATCCGTTTCCAGTTTATTTTGCAATTCAGTAAAGTTTCAAAATAAGACAAGTTCTGGAATAAATAACTCCTTTGGGCTCTTTGTGCCAGCTGGCAGTTCCTGTTTTCGTCATAAGTGTCTATGTGTAGATATCTTTTATTTTTGACACTTGTCAGGCTTCTTCAATCTGTGGGGTCCTGTCTAGATTTTATCTAAATATAGTTTTTCTGTCCTAGTCGCCTTTTATTCAGCAAATTGAACATATGTTAGAACTTCTCACTATGTAGCTATACATGTAGCTATATCTCGTATCTTTTTTTTTGTGGGGGGAGGAGGTCACATCGCTTTGTTGAGGGATTACTCCTAACTCTGCACTCAGATTACTCCTGGCAGGACTCTGGGGACCACATATGGTTCCAGGGATCAAATTTCAAACTTGGGTCACCTGCATGCTAGGCAAAATGCTCTAACTTGCTGTGCTATCTCTTGAGCCCTTAAATTTTTTTTTTAACTTCCCAAGCAATGCTCAGGAAGCCAAAGGTGCCATTTGGAGATTCTTTGAGGAAAGCTCGATTGGTAGTTCAATGCAAAGGGCCCAAGGATTGCTAGGGATGCTATGGATACCCAGGCCATCCACCTGGTGCTGGGGACCTCCAGGACTGCACTCTGGTACTCTGGAACCATGTGGTGAAAGGCACGGAACAAGGCAGGCTCACACTAGCCATGGCACCCTAGCTGCTGTACTATTTTCTGGCCCCTCAGATTTCAGTTCTTACATATTCTTACATTTTTACCCCTTTTCTAAATGAATTTCATTTATTTTTATGGGTTCCTATTTTCCAGATACCTTACCACTATTTAAAAACAGAAAGCATAAATCTAAGTAGCTTTTTATCGTTTCTACCTATCCTTAACTCTGAAGTCTAATTTCCATATGTACCTGCTTATTGTTTTACTTTTAGTAAACTGAGGCCTTCAATGAAGGGTTTTTTTTTTCTTTTATGGGATTTACATTTTTAAGTGTAACAGATTTTATTTGGAAGTTTTGAGAAAGGGAGGTTGGGAGAGAGGAGAAAGCGAGCAAGTGAGCACGGGCTTCTCCAAAATGGAGAGAGCCACAGCACACATCTCAGGAGGGGAGATGAGGGCAACACATGTGCTCGGGCATCACATGCACTTGGTCGCAACACATGGGTACAGGTAGCACATGAGTTCAGGCAGTATATGCACCAAGGTTTACATTTTATTTTTTCTAAAAGCATCACCAGTGTACGGCCACCGTAAGACAAACTAATTAGGCTGATTATAGGAGATTCCAAGTGAACTATAATTTTACATAATTTATACCTTTAGTTCCTCCACATTCTCAAGGTAAAATCCTTTGTGAGGATCCATTGTGAAAGGATGTTCCCTTGTTTGTCACTGTTCAACTTAAGATTTACTATCTTGTGTGAATCTAGAACTTCTGTCCTCTTCACCCCAGACTGTCTTAGTACTGCCTCAAGTTCTCTTCACTTTTTTTCTCTGGACATCCCTTACTTCTTAAAATCACCCTAAAGCTTTAAGTTCTTTTTTTTTTTTTTTTGTATTTTAATGTTTTGTTTTCAGGAGGGCTATGGTTTTAATTATCTCAAAATGCAATTTCTGGAAACAAACTTCCCACAATTGTGTATTTGATCATGCGTAGTAAAATCCTACTCAACTGATACTCTTTGCCCTTAAGACAGTCAACATGTAACCTATACAAAACCCATACATGGTAAGAAATAGGCCTGTCTGAGCAATTGATCATTTTCAGCAATTTTGCTGTTTATGGTGCCAAAGCTGGAAGTGCTCAAGAATCATTCCATACCTGGCAGTGCTCACAACTATATTATTTCATGATCAATCCAGAGCCTTCGCACAGGCAAAACATGTGATCTAACATTCACGTTATGTCCCTAGCTCCCATTTTAAGCAATTTCTACTTTAATTGCTTAAAGCTAAGTACCTTATTTATTAGTTATCTAGTATTAGTTGCCAAACATTAACAAATCACCAGAAAACTCTGCAGCTTACAATAATAGATGTTTATTATCTATACATTTTCTTTAATTTCTTACGTATTTCCTAAGACTGGGTGAGATGGGTGGTTCTCTTGTGGATGTAGTTGAATTGCTGGCTGGGGCCATAATTTGAAGGCTGGCTTGGTGTTGGAGGATCAACTTTTAGTCTTGTGGCTGCTAGCAGGAGACTTCCGTTCCCTCGAAATTCCGTTCCTTCTTCTTAGGGCTGCCCAAATCTGGCAGCTAGTTTCTTCACGAGTGACCCAATAGAGTAAGGACAGAGAAACTGGAGGGGGGAGGAGGTGGAGCGAGCGAGCGAGAGAAAGAGAGAAGAGAGAGGAGAGAGGAGGGACTGAGGAAGGAGAGGAAGGAAGTGGAGACAGTATGCCAATGATGAACACTACAGAGTCTCATAATGTAATCTTGGAAATGGCATTCCTTCTATTCCACCGCCACAGAGACCATCATGGTACAAAGTGGGACAGATACAAAAAGAGTGTGAATACCAGAAGGGTGGTAATTACTGGGTTACCCCGAAAGATAGCTAGTATTTTATTCGCCTCTTTTATTCTTATATTCTATTCTTTTTCTTTTATTCAGAAAAAACAAGCATTGGTGTTCACAATGAAGCACCTGAATTTGACCTATTTCTTCATTTGTCAGAGCATAAAAACCTGGTTGTAATTTTATCAACAGGAATTCAGAAAATGTTTCCCAAGAGGTATTTAATGTTAAATTTCATCTAGTTTCAAGCTAAATCCAAATCACAGAACATAAACAAAAGTAGACTAAGGAGACTGGAGACTGGAAGTTGGCTCGGTGGCCTGAACTTAAAAAAAAAAAAAAACTACTAAAAATTTGATGTGGGGAGTGGTTGGAGCAGTAGTGCAGAGGGGAGGATGTTTGCTTTGCACACAGCCAACCTGGGTTCACCCTTTATGGTCCCCAGGCATTGCCAGGAGTAATCCTTGAGCACTGTTGAGTGTGTGCCCCCTCTAAAAAAATTTTTTTTGATATGGGGGCTGGGAGACAATATATATTTAGAATACATGCTTGGCATGTGACCAACCTGAATTCAACTCCTGGACCACATGGTCCCCTAAGCATTATCGATGCATCCTGGGAGGCCCGAGCATCAGAGGCCAAAGCAGCATCAGATCCCAAGGTCCTTGCACTAAATTGCCAGTCCAGTTGGCAAAGAATCACAGGTGGGACCCTGAAACTTCCCAAAGTACCACTTGGGAGCCCACCAGCTCCCCCCAAAAAATCTGGTTTAGAAAAACTAATGCATCTGAGTGAAAAGCAAATTCAGAATGGCGAGGCATCATTCCTAAAGCTAACAAAAACATTTTAAATTTAGCTCGAAAATTTAAAAACCCTGTTTTAATCATCAAAATTTTGTTATGAGAAAAATAATTGTCCTACTAAAACATATGGCTATAATTCTAATAACAGATTTTCTTCTTGTCTTTCTGCACGTACGATGCTTTTATCAATGAGTAAAAGTGGTCTGACAAAACAAGAATGTTTAAGAGTCTAAATATAAACCACAAAATTCAAACCAAGGGTTGATACTGTTTTTTTCAGTGTACACAGCACGCTCATTTTATGACTTTAAAAAAAAAATAATACGTGGAGTGTTTTGATGTTTTGAGGGGAAGGGGTTTGTTTTGGGTCACACCCAGCTATGCTCAGGGATGACTCCAGTGATGCTCAGTGGACTATATGTGGTGCCCAGAATTGGACCAGGCTCGGCTACTTCCCGTGACCTATCTTTCTACCTCCAAAACAGGTATTTATACTTGCTGCTACTGCACCTAAACTTTGGGAAATATACAGGGAACAAACAAAAATCATTACTTGTTGAGAGTGGAAAATAGAAAAAGAAATACATACAGGTTGAGAGGTAAAAGTGATATTCTTAGAGTTTTGAATTTTATATACTACATAATGAAACATTTTCTAAAATCACAAAAGAAAAATGAAAGTAGAAATCTGTGATTTACTTCAAGGTGAGTTATCAAAGTTATGCTTACTATTTAAAAAGTTTGGT